GCCACTATGTTGTACACTATGATTCTTTAACACCCGTAATGACAAATACTGAAATATCTCTTGAGCCATGTCAAAACATATTTATGAAATGTACAATTATGTATGCTGAATTATGTGATTGTATAGTCATATAGGACACTTTTAACTTGTAAAATATGATCTAGTAACATAACAAAGACGAAATGAAGAAAAATGTATGAATTTATATATTACGTTTTATTAGTATACTTTCAGATATTAATGTTGTCAAAATACTGCACTTTATGTTTTTTGTGCCCAATAATGTAAGATGTTTATTTCTCCACATTGCAATGTTTAATGCTTTAAACATGTAAATACAACACTGTTTTCTCTTCCACATTTCAGAATTTCAAACATGTAGCATTTCTGTTTGTGTTATGAGCTTCAATAAACTTACAAAAAAAAACACAGTCTAAGAAATTAAATATTTGACAGAAGAAAATTATAATGTGTTTTGTTTGGCCATGGAAGCTACTAATCTGTCTTTTGTGAGTCCTTAACACACAATGAAAATGAAAGCAAAAGAGTAGGTTATAAAAGAAAATTCAACAAGCTGTATTTCCCAAGAAGACACAAAGAAAAGAAATTACTCATGATATCAGAAAGTACACTACAGTCATTCAGTTGACAACTCGCAGTTAATCATCTGGAACTGAATCCATGTATGCAGTCTTTTTCTCAACAAGTAGGACAACATTTGCAGAACAACTGAGTCAATAAATAACTGCATACAAAAATCCAATGAAAGTACTTTTCTTTTCCAAGTGTAGTTCACACAAAAACAGAAGGATGTGTTTGTAAAATTGGAGCAATGCTGGGAAGAGAGGGCTGGTTTCCTCATTCCAGTCTGTATCCTTCAGTTAATGTGTGGCAGTAAGTCTGCAGGAGATGGAGACAAGTGGGGTTTGTTTTATGCACCGGTGTGCAATGGGACATCTGAATGGAGAGAGTGTTTTTGCAAAGTCTTAATAAGGGTAAGTATTAATGCCAGATTAAGTTAATTATTCAAGTGATTTCTAAACAGAGTCTATAGCAGCCCAACAAGGTTCTAATTAACAGTTAATGTATTAATTTTGATCTTATCTTACAAAAAGAGGGACACCCAATTTATTCATGTTGTTTATTCATTTGTACACACTTTTCTCTGTAATTCTACTTGACATATTCATTAATCTTTCGAAATCTTGGGGACGTAAAACATTTAAGTTACATTTGGGCATACTGCTGCATATCAGCAGATGACATTCAACCTGTATAAAACAGTGCGTGCACTGTGTACGTATACAATCATTTAAGACTAGGACTTTTTCAACTAAATGTCCTATTGTAAAAGCTAGGTTTTGTGTAAAAGCAAAAACTAACACCTTGTAACCAAGCTTTTAAATTAACAAAAAGGGTCTGCACAATGTTCTCAGCGTCAACAGCAGACACTACACTTCCTAAGCGAGAGAACGGAATATATAAGGAGTTTTCCACAAAGGTCCACAGATCAGGTTACAAACACTATATGACCTTTGTGTCTTAAATTACAAGAGCAGATGTGTACAATTCTTCTTGTAGAAAAACATTTTGGCCCCAAATGAGTTCCCTATTTCTATAAAGCACTGGATCAATACAGGTTATCACTAATCATCTGAACATGGTCTGTTGTGTTTGGCAAAAAAGGAAAGAAAATCTAGGGCACAGTCTTTTGACAGTCTTCCACCAGTACCAGGGGATAATGGGGTTTCTGACTGATGTCATGTTAACGCATACGAATTAGAATAGATGGTAAAGACACTTCGGATAAGGTACTGTTGTCCCTTTGCATGGAAATAAAAACATTCCCTATGAATACAGCATTGAGGTAAGATGGAAATACTAAAAGAAAGAAAGAAAAAACAGTCATGTGATTTCATAATTTGTTTTTCACTTTTATCCAATTGTTTTTTTTAAAGTCTTTTTTTATTAAGGTTGTGTTGTCACGTAAAAGAAACAATACAAATTCAAAGAAGGAAATAAGCAATAGATACAATGCAATGGCCAGGCAATGGATACCAGTATGTTTATACAGGGATAATTATGAGCATTGGGTCAAATTACCCACACGTCAAGGATATGTTCTATTGCCAGGAATGTTTTCCTAAGGATACTTGCAGTTCTTGCATATCTCTGAGTTATCGTAAACATTACCATGGTAAAAATAGCAATACAATATCTAAGCTAAAAATATCCCCTCAGGTGTAAAATGTTGTCATAAAAGACTTTTGTGTGGTGACATATCAATGACAAGGGAATTCAAACACAATAGAGATAGATTATAGGTGTAAAGTTCTACTTTATACTCCGCCCACAGCAAACAAGATTACACAATATTTGCTCAGACTTCTTTATAGACGTAAATCTTTGACAGAGATTAAGTTTCCATACAACAATGGATAGACAGGTTTCTTTTGATGAGTGCCAGTAAGTCCAATGTTACGGTTTACATTCAGGAAACAGGGAAAAAAAATATTCTTCTCACTAATGATAACTTTCATTCATGTGCACAATGCACTGCCCCTTACACGCAGGTTTCAGATAAGGTAGCACCGTTAACTCAGCCTTCAGTGGTGTCATCTTGTCACTGATAACAGACCACAAACAAAGTTACGATTGTGATTCGATACGTGGGGTGATAGTGGGTGAAAATACAGAGACAGAGAAATGTTTATCTTCTAGCTCTTCAGTGCATGTTATTTTAACATTGGGGGAAAATATTGAATACAGGGAATTGTGAACCTAAGAAAGGAATATTCAGTACTGACAAAATTAACTATAGCCCTATATTTGTGCTACAGTCTTGTTGATCGATGCCCAGTTGTGTACAGAGTTGAGACTGTCTTGAACTGTCTTTGTACTGTTTTAGTGTTGGACATGATGTGTTCCAGCTGCAGGATGTTTTAAGAGAAATGCACTACTGAAGAAATAAAAGAGAAGTACACATTTGTCATGGCCCATGCGCCAGCGTGTGTCTATACAGTATACTATTCACATAATAGTATACCTATTCAGTGTTTGTGAATTAAATTAGGAGAAATGTTGCCTATTTCAAGTACATCTGACCCACTAGTCAATGTGCTTTACAGTAGTAAAAAACAAAAGTCCCGATAACTCAACGCCACATAAGAAATTGAAAATTAGATTTTTTTCAACTGTCTTTTGTAACATATGATGAAATATGATATTATCTTAATAATAAATAATACATTGACATTCTATTCAAACAGGCTAAGCACTACTGCAATGAATGAAACTAATAAACTGCGGCAATAAAAGGCTTACAATATGAAGACATAATAAGCCAATATTGTCTAAAGAGTTATTTAGATGATGGCGAAAAGCAGACACACCAGAGCCTTAGGTGCATGGCAGATCCTTTATTTTCCTCTAAAATAAGCAATCATTGGTTCGGTTTTTCTTTACAAAGTATAACAAAAAAAAGGTGTGATCAAATATTCTAGTCTACACATAATTATAATAGCAACAACTGGTCAGCAGAGTTACACAGAACCAGTCTGTCTACACAGCCAACTGCTCTCTGAAAATAGTGCTGTGTTGTTTAAGTACAGTAATTGGGGTTCTCACACTTCACAGCTAAACTCTAATTAGTGTGAATGCTGTGCAACAGCTTTCCACTATAGTTCTTGTTCTTTAATCTTCTTCTTATTATTTCAACCAATATTTTGCCGTCGAATAACTTCAGCCTACTTTCAGCTACAGGAACCATTAAACTTTCAACTTTTTCAAAATATTTTATACTTTTCAAAATATTCAGTTTTTAATCTTTTTTTAACATTTAACTCAATGGGAGGAACCTTCAAATCCTCTTTTACCTACACCTTGCGCCAAATGCTACTCCTTCCACATACTTTCAGCTAGAGACTTCATTCCAACTTTAAAATGATCCTAAGACATTCAGCTATAAAACTTGTTCTTCAGTTTTTGATATCTTTTACACTTTTTGAGATATTTAACTTAGTTTGGAGCTTGGTAAAGAGGTCTTCTTCAGATTTTAACATTAATGTGTATTGCGCAGCTCATTAAGGCTTAGAGTGCGTGATGTCACAGCTAGAGTGGAGGAGAGCTTGAAATTCGCTTTATTTTTATTTTTTTAAACTGCTATAATTCCTAAACCCTAGACTCCTGGGACATAATGTTATGCTTTTTTTAAATTAATCAAGTCCTTGACATGCTTCACGCGTTGACATTTTACCAAAAGCAGCTACCGTTTTTTAAACTATAGTTAGAAATGTAAGAGGTTTATCTGTCATTCAGAACAATGGAAAGGCTCTCCTTTCATCTCCATGGAAACCTTTGATCATCTCTGGGCTCACACACATGTGTTATGATTAGCTGTTATGATTAGGTGCTCAGCACAGAAACAAACACTGACAAACAGACTGGAGTTTAACAGACTGTCTCAGCCTATTATTTTCTGTCTGATGGAGACTTCATACTGACTTCAACATGTTCCACATATTTTATACATTATTGGTGACGTATGGTTTTAGTTCAAAAGTTTGCAGTTAAAATATTCTACTGCTTTTCAAAGCGTTTTTACTTTATTTTCTCTGCTTAATACACATTCATTCACTACTACTTAAATGCAATATCTAACTCCTTCAGCCTACTTTCTGCTACAGAAACCATTCAACTATTAAATTATTCAGCTATTTCAGGACATTGAGGCTATACATTTTGTTGTTTATACCTTTTTTAAACCTTTTATTTTAAATATTAAGCTTCTTCACTATTTGTCCTACTCTTCCAGTTTAACATTTCACTTTCAAGTTTCAACAAAGTCATTGCAATGCATTTGAGCTGTAACAATTTGATTCAAATCATTTCACTTTTCTGCATTTCTCCGCTAAGTTTAGCAACACACTTACTTGGTTTTTGTAGCTAAAAGCAGCTACAGAGACCATTCAACTAATTAAAATATTCAGCTTTTCTGCATTTTCAGCTAAATTCAGCAACACATGTACACAGTTTACAGCATTCGCACGCATTTTCAGCAGGAAATGCATTTTCTAGTTGTACTTAGTGGATCCCTCTGGAGTCGACTGGTTATAGTTTGAAACTTCGATGAGGTTGTGGTCTGGATCTCTGAAGTACAGAGACGTGATGGACCCCACAGCTCCACTCCTCTCCACCGGTCCCTCCTCTATCTCCACCCCACAGACCTGCAGAGAGAAGAGACAACAGCAATTGACGCTGAGCATTTCAGAGACACCCAGAACGGTGAGAAAATGTGATGCACAGACAACTAGAGTCACGTGGCTTTAAAGGTGTAACCATCTTAAAATATTTAAATTGGCATTATTCATTCAAGAGAGTCTGTAGGAAACCTTCAGATGTGAAGCCACTGTAGCGAGGGGGGTTTTGGTGATGAGGCACAGGTCCGCAGAGCCTGACGTTGGATGCTTGGCTTTGGGCTCAAAACTCCTGACCCAACTGGTGAAGGTTAAACTTCTGCTGCCCAAAACCCAGGGCCTTACGATCTCCCTTGAAAACGCAGAGAGAGCAGGTGATGTGGGAAAGCTCAAAGCAGCTCATAGTGGGAGTACATAACAGTAGAGACACTCTCAGCTGACATACAGTCAAAGCCTGCCATCTAGTGGATGTTCTCTCAAACCAAAAGCAGACAGTATTTCACCTTAAAGGGGACCTATCATGCAAAATGCATGAATATGTGTCCCCGGTGTTCCAGGGAACTCACCAAGTGTCAGAAAACACAACCCTCTCTATTTTCCTCCATACCCAAATCTCAAAAAAGGGGCTGCAACGGATCTGATAAAAACTGATCCAGATTTTAACACTGTCCTGACGCCAGGACGGTGGCGCTACGGCTATTGGGCCAACTCCACCAATCAGGAGGAGACAACCACGGCATTGCCGTTCGAAAGCGCTGGAGACGCTTGTAGTACATATGCCAGGCCTCTAGATGGTCCTGTTGCTCACAGAATCAACCCTTGCAAAAACAGAGCTAACATTTTTCAAATTGAGCGAAATGAGGCATGGCTAAAATGCATGATCTGTTTGGTATTTTGAAAAAGAAAAAGTATAAATATGCCTTATATAGGTATGGTCCTACACTATATTATTCAAATATAGCATGATAGGTCCACTTTAACTAATCACTACATAAACAACGCATGGATAATGATAATACTGACACATTAAATGATTAGAATTATTAACACTAAATTGATCCCCAGGAGGGGAATGGGGTTGTGTTATTGTGGTGTCTATTTGAAATGAATAAGAATATAAATTGAACAGTTATGTTAAAATTGCGAATGAAGATATTGCATAAACTATATTCAATTAATTAGCAATACTTAATCTGACTTACTATGAGTATGCCTACTAAAACCTACTAATACCTGCTACTACTGTTACTGATGATCAGTGGCGTACTGGCCATCGGGACGTTCGGGACGAATCCCGATGGGCCGGTACTGAAGTGGGCCGGTCAGACGATGTGGGCCGGTCGGATAAGTCACTAGCACCCCCCCGTTGACAATTTACTAGCGGTATTTACTTGCGGTACCGAGGTGGGCCGGCGGTACCGAAGTGGGCCGGTCGAGAGTCCAAGGCTGATTTTTAGTCCCAGTCCGCCCCTGCTGATGATACTACTACAACCATTACCACTAAGATAATAATAGTACATTTACATTTAAAAAGCACATTGCAAACCTTGAAAGTGATGACTTCCATGCCCAGGACTGAGGTATAAAAGTTGATGGTGTCTGGCACACTTTTCACAGTCAGAACCAAATGATCCAGACGGCTCACTTCAACAGGACAACTTGTTTTGAACCTGACAAAGCCAAGTGTTTGGATGGAGACCTGCTGTAAGAGATAAGACAAATACATTCTAGGGATTAAACAACAACTTTATGTTGATGGCATGGACAGAGCTGGGTTAATGCTATTCAAGATTAATAAAACGTTCTATATTGGCTATATTATAAACAAGATAATACAAAAATGTAACATATTGTAAAATTAAAAAGCCATACATTATAAATAAATTATCTGGGCATTTCATTTGTATATATTATTGTGACAATTACCTTTTTGACTGTGCAATAAAAACATTTTAAATCAGAAACAGCACCGCAGTGTGGCGACAATGTAGCCTACGGCACACTGTAAGGACCAGAAAGGTGTGTTAAGCAAAACGTTGATGTAGACCAGCAACACGTCTACATCAACGTTCATATCATATAATCATAATGATTAACAGTCTATTGTATGAACCTATTTTTCGGTTATTAACATACCGAATTATCTAAAGGGAAGTCTTAACTGCTGGTACTTCTGCCTTTACAACGTGAGACGCGAGTGATAAGTAGTGGGAATACATTTAGCGGTTAAATTGGCAGATAATCTCAATAAAGTACCTTTAAAACGTTCCTCTGAAAGTAAAAGAAACGACCTCCAGCTGTCCGCAGCGCCATCCTTGCTGTAGTCTGCGGGTTGGAGCACTTCCTTGTTGTTGCACCTCTGTGTGTGAACCTCAGACTGTGAACCCGCTGCAACTGGCCAACACAGAGGAACCACTGAAGAGAGGCATTAACAAACTCCGATAACTACAACCTTTCACTAACATACTTTTCCAGATTACGTCTCTATCGAAAAGACACCTATGAACAAATTAAAAATGTCTATTAAGTTTTACATTTTCTCACAAATCTGCCAGTAGGCGGTGCTAGTACTTACACACTTTCACAGATGCAGACCAAACGCCAGTGGTGGAAAGTAATAAAGTACATTTACTGAAGTACTGTACTTAAATTCAAATATGAGTTATTTGTTCATAACTTGAGGTTTTCTATCTTATGCTACTTTATTCTTCTTTACTAGGCCCACAGCTTTGAGGAAAATATTGTACTTTTAACTCCACTTTTAATTTAATTTGATAAATTAAGTTACTTTGCAGATTCCTATTGTACAAAAATCTAACCAACTAAAAATATATTGTAATATTATGGATAGATGAGTCCAGTTAATCCCTTAGTCAAATGCACAATCTCTTTGACAATGTGAAATAATACACATTATCCACATCAATGAGTCAATTATTAAATTACATTATGTACAAAAGAGTCATGGACCATTCTGCCTAGGAAGGACTTTTGGTACTTTATTTCAATATTAATGGAACCACTTTTGTACTCCTAATTTGTATATTTTGTAATGCTTTTACTTGTTACATTCTGGGGCACTGTGGCATTAGTACTGAAGTAAAACACGAGTATTTGTTCCACCACTACCAAATGCATCATAAACAAAGATGTATTACACATATTTTGTATTGTGTAATATGCACAATGTGTGCAATATGTTATGGTCTGGACATTAAAGGGAACACAAACCATGCTCTGCTGCTTCCACTCCACACCATCATTCAAAGTCATGATTTTGCCTTGGATTAAAAAATGTTAGAAACCAAATATAAAGCGGTAGGAAAAACATATCAATGAACATCTCAACTCGTCATATCAAAACAAACATGAAAATAAAAGTATATTTAGACCGTTTAATATATAAGGTAAAAGTAATAATATAATTATTGTGTGCACCTGAATGCAGAATAAAATTACCAAGCAGCAAAGTAAGTGTACAGAATGCGTACCTGCTAATGCATTTTGTAGCATAACAACGTGTTTAATTCAGCGGTTAGTTTCATTTAACACCCAGTTAACATACTGCACTGGGTGACACAGAACAAGGCCAAGACTAAGGAATGGCCTAAGAGGGAACATACATTTCATTTACATGTTTATGGTATATAACAATGACAACGTCTTGCATTCAAACTTTTCTGTCCCACAGAGGGAAGTAATAATTGTGGCAAAGACATCAAACAGTGGAACAAGACACGTGACAGGATGGCATTCATTGTGATGCCCATTACTCCTTTAGCCAGTGTTCCTGTTCATCGACAGTGCTATTAAAACCTACAGAACTTCTAAATAAAATAAAATAACTTCAACACATTTTAAAAGGTAATAAGTCTTCATTTAAGATTTTAGCCATTAACAACAGTTTTAACAATAGCATACATTTATATCATGGTTTGTATTTCCCTACTTTCACTTTAGCATGTATTGCACACTGATATGGAGCATCTGCTCATGGGGTAGAAGGAGGCAAGCATTACGACTTTCTACTGGAGCCTTATTAAGACAGAAGGAAAATAGTGTGAATGTTTTCAGACTTAGTTGGCGTCTGAAACTCAAATCTTTGGGTTAATAACTTAAGTTGGACCTCCGTGTAAAGAGCTATTCTGGCTGAGTTGACAGTTCAAGTGAATGTGTGGTCATTTCAATCTATGCGAAAAACAACTTAGATAACTTACTTCATTGGTCAATAATTAAAGACAATCCGATGTGTAAAAATAAAAAAGGATCAGATCTGTAGATAATGGATGACAGGACAAAAAGATTGTGAAATCATAGTTGTACATTAAAAAGCAAACAATCTTTTACATATGGGTGAAGAAAGCAAAAGAAAGTATATCTAAGTATTTCGACATGTCATGCCTGTTAGTATAGTATTTTTAAGTTGGGAAAATTCACATGCCAACAACTTAATATCAACCAAATATCTACTACCGATATTGAGACACCCCTAATTTCTGGTATTACTGCTACTTAATCATTTTTAATGATCAAGAAAATAAAGATGCTATATGATTCCAAAATAAAACTCACACTTCGATAAGGTAGCCTAGGTGGATTTATCTTTCCCTTATGTCTGTACAACATTCTTTTTTTAACCTTTCATGGTATATGCCACTCCAAAATAGTTGTTTCTTTCTGGTGAACAAGAAAATGAGAGTACACGTCACACTGTAAATGGCAAACCAATCAATGTCCTACAACCTTTGGACATCACAATCTTTAAATAATTCTGCTGTGTACATTGATACCTCCAATTGGTGCAACAGTCAATTTAGGGATGCTCTGATAGAGTAATTGCCGCCAACTTGACCTTAATCTTCATGAGATAATTTACAATCCAAAATCAATTCAATAATACAAAGTATGATTAAAAATTATTTTTACAAGCTTATTTACAGCTAATACTTTGAACTGGTGTAACTAAGAAGTGTACCAATACCCAAATTCTGGTATATAAGGCGCCATTTAGGAGATAATAGAAAAGAGCAGATGTGCCTGAACTACCTGCCGGTGTGCAGCATTTATAACCAGGGGGTCTTTAAGAGATACCGAGCCGCCTGTGTGCATGGCTTTATGCACTGCCACAACTGCTCGGTCACTACAGGTGGATTCAAACAGCATGCATTGCTTGTGCCTAACTTTGGACTGCAATTATAAATGTCTAAATAGAGACTGAATATGTCTCGATGTCACTGTATGGAGCACCCCAAAACAAACCTGTGACTGCATTATGATTTAAACTCACAAATGGTATGAAGGAAATCCATTTCAACAGTGGAGAAACATTTCCTCAAATCCTCTTATGTACTTGGGACAAAAGGCCTGCAGTCTTTTTGAGCTACACAACACTCTCTCTGTTGGCTGACACCAAGACAGCACTGCGGCAGATGGGGCAAGTGGAGTTTTCGGATAGCCAGCGATCAATGCAGTGCACATGGTACTCATGAGAGCAGGGCAACTTACGTAGCTTGTTACCTTCTGCATATTCTGTTATGCAGACACTGCAAGTCTTCAGGGCATCACTCTCACCAAAATTGCGCATTGAGAGGTTGTCAATCTGCTCTATGGTCAGCCCTTGGGGCTGGTCCTCATCGTCATCATTTAGAAGAAAGAAGTGAGCAAGCCGCAAGAAAGGCAATGAGCTGGGCTCCGCTAGGCTGATAGGTGGTAGTGGTCTAACCCTGCCAGCTGAGGCAGGGGGAGCAGTGACAACACCCTCCTCAGTATCAGTCTCAGCTGTCCTTGCTCTGACTCCTGCAGCTACAGGGGGTTCTTCCACATCAGCAACAGGAGCCGCAGCAGGATTGGCTTCCGGGTTGTTGAGGGCTTCAGCCAGATCTGCAGGTGTGGTGGCTCCACGGTTTGAATCTGACGAATCGGAGTCTGAGTCCATGAGGTAGCCGAGTTCACCAAAACCAGTCATTATTTGCCTAATCATAGATTGGAGAGCCATCGAGGTGGCTTCCCCCAAACCTGCATCAGAGATTCTTCGGATAGGGATGCGAATAGTGCTGACGTAGGTCCTCACCCCAGCACGCTCAGAGCGTGAGAAAGTCCTGCGAAATCCACCACGCTCACTCTCATAAAGAAATGTGTTGTTTGAGTTCTGGGAGCGTGAACGGGTGCGGCTAGCAATGCTGTCTCTTTGCCGATATTCGCCTGGACGCACACGACGCACCTGGAGATCAAGCATAATGGTAGGGGGACGGCGCCCTGCTGCGGCCCCTTCCCCTGCAGCAGCTTCTCCTTCCTGAGCTCCTACAGGTTGGGCCTCTGGGACCACTTCTGCACTAGCCCTAGATGGCTGAACATCAACGTCAGCAGTGCTTTGCCTAGAAAGAACGTGTTGTCGAGTCCGTGAACTGCCCTCCACTTGAAGCACAGGGGGAGCATTGGTGGCAGGGTTGAGGCCTTGAGTGCTGTGAGCATGACGTGGATTCGGGAGGCCATCCAGGCGATCCAGGTTGAGAGGGGAGCGGCTCCTGGCCGTGCGCGCCCTGGTCCTGCGTGGTTCTGGACTACGGCTGCGGGCTCTCCGCTGTCCTCTGCGTGGAGAAGGAGAGAGTGGGGGTTGTGGTGGTTGTACCAGCAGGGCGGCAGTTGAGAGGAGAGGTTCTCCTAAAATCTCTTGTGAAACAACTTCTTCTAGTTCAGGCTCTGGTTCAGGTTCTGGTTCCTGCTCTGGTTCAGGTTCAGGTTCAGGTTCCTGCTCTGGTTCCTGCTCCAGCTCTGGTTCCTGCTCCAGCTCTGGTTCCTGCTCCAGCTCTGGCTCCAGCTCCGGCTCCGGATCCAGCTCTGGCTCCAGCTCTGGCTCTGGCTCGACTATCACAGCCACTTCCTCTACAACCGGTTCTTCCACCACGTCCGTCTCCATGGGTACCTGTGGTTCAGCCTCCACCACAAGTGGTTCAACATTAGCCACCATTTCTTGACTCTCTGGGGTTTCTTCTGAAGTTGCCTGCGGAGTTTCCTGTGGAGATTCGTGTGGAGATTCCTGCTCCCCTTCAGCAGCTGCCTGCTGTTCAGCCAGGTTGCGGTTCACACTGATTTCCAGGCTGAAGCGGAAATCACCACTGTTTGGGTTGGTCTGGCTCACGGCCCGCCATGACTGGTTTCCACGATGACCAGTTCTGGTTGTGTTGCCTGTGCGCCTCACTGTGTTCAGCCAGTCTAAGAGACTATCCCCATTTGCAGGATCCTCAGAGTTTTCTGGTGGTTCTGTAATAAGAGGAGTAAACAAGCATTAAATTAACTCTACATTTGACAGTAAATCAAAGAAGAAGAAAGAAATGGCAAACTTACCAACTGGATCCACTCCACTTTCAGTA